CTATATAGCAATGAAAGTATAAAAAAAAAAACTTATTGATGATTTTGTGACGGATCTTACAATTACAACTCGAATGTTTACATCATGTTAGTTATAAAAATACTTCACTATAATGATAGACAAGTTGTCGCTAATTTTATAATGGATGGTAACTTTCATCACTAAAATTATTAGCAATAAGCATTTTACCTATAGTTTGGTTTCATTGATATTCTTTTGCTAAAAGAAAATAAAAAATGAATGTATTGGTTTAGCAACGGAATTTTTCATCGCTAAAAGGAGGGTTAATTTTTTATAGTTAATGTCATTTTGAGATTTACCACTTTTGTTGGACATGTTAAATAACTATTTGATGAGGTCGGACTCCTCGAAATAGTATATTTTATGAGATTAGATATTTTGAAATAGTATAGTTAATGAGGCCGTTTTCTCCTTTTATGGTTAAAAGGGCGGTGATTGACAATAATAGATGATTATCTAATAGCTTGAGGTACTTAGAAATGAAATCTTCCTAATGAATTGGAGGGCTCTTTAATAATTAAATTAGAATATAGAAATAAAAAAATAAAAAAGGTCTAAATAAGCGATATTCTAGTTGTGTTTATGTGAAGAGATGATGAATAATAGTTATTTAATTTTTTGAACGAGAGAGAAATAAAAAAGGAATCCTCAATCTCTAGCTTGAAGGACCGTTATATGGCCAAAGTTTGGCCAAGTTGCATGGAAAGGAAAATAAGATGATTAATTTTTATTGTTAGCAATCTACGAAATCAACTTAAAAATATGTATATCTTGAAGTTGATGGTGTACTTGTTTAACATTTATCATAGTGATATGACTATCATTAATCGGACAAGAGTGTGTTTTCACTTAATAAAAGGTTTTTTTTCCCTTGGTTGGTAGAAGATTGGTGGGAATGTATGCCTTCAATAATGTTTACGGACATTAGTTACAAAAATACTTCATTATAGTGACGGATAAGCTTTCGCTAATTTTACAACGGATGGTAACTTTTTTAGTTAAAATTATTAGCGATAAGCGTTTTACATAGTCTAGTTTTGTCAATATTCTTTTGCTAAAAAAGAAAAAAAAACAACTAAATGTATTGGTTTAGCGATAGAATTTTCTATCGCTAAAAGGAGGGTTAATTTTTTGCGATGAATGGCATTTTGAGATTTACTACTTTTGTTGGACATATTAAATAAGCTGTTTGATGAGGTCGAACTCCTCGAAATAGAATATTTGATGAGATTAGATATTTTGAAATAGTATAGTTAATGAGGCGGTTTTCTCCTTTTATGGTTAAAAGGGTAGTGATTGGCAATAATAGATGATGATCTAATAGCTTGAGGTACTTGGAAATGAAATCTTCCGAATGAATTGGAGGACTCTATAATGACTAAATTAGTTTACGAAAAAAAGAAATATCTAAATACGCAACGATCTAGTTGTGTTTATGTGAAGAGATGATGAATAATAGTTATTTAATTTTTTGAACAAGAGAGAACTAGGAAAGGAATCCTCAATCTCTAACTTGATGGACCATTATATGGCCAAAGTTTGGCCAAGTTGCATGGAAAGGAAAATAAGATGATTAATTTTTATTACTAGCAATCTTTGACATCAACTTAAAAATATGTGTCTTGAAGTTGATGGTGTACTTGTTTAACATTTATCGTAGTGATATGACTATCATTGATAGGACAAGAGTGTGTTTTCACTTAATAAAAGTTTTTTTCCCCTTGGTTGATAGAAGATTGGTGGGAATGTCTACCTTCGATAATGTTTATAGCAAATTAGTTACGAAAATACTTCATTATAGTGACCGACAAGTTGTTGTTGATTTTACAACGGATGGCAACTTTTTTCACTAAAATTATTAGCGACAAGCGTTTTACATAGTCCGGTTTCATCGATATTCTTTTGCTAAAAAGAAAAAAAAAACTAAATGTATTGGTTTAGCGATAGAATTTTCTCGTCGCTAAAAGGAGGGTTAATTTTTTTTTTTTATATAGTGAATGGCACTTTGAGATTTACCACTTTTGTTGGACATGTTAAATAACTATTTGATGAGGTCGAACTCCTCAAAATAGTACATTTGATGAGATTAGATATTTTGAAATAGTATAGTTAATGAGGTGGTTTTTTCCTTTTATGGTTAAAAGGGCGGTGATTGGCAATGATAGATGATGATGTAATAGCTTGAGGTACTTGCAAAAGAAATCTTCCTAATGAATTGGAGGACTCTCTAACGACTAAATTAGTGTACGAAAAAAAAAATTATCTAAATAGGCAATAGTCTAGTTGTGTTTATGTAAAGAGATGATGAATAATAGTTATTTAATTTTTTGAACGAGAGAGAAATAGGAAAGGAATCCTCAATCTCTAACTTGATGGACCGTTATATGGCCAAAGTTTGGCCAAGTTGCATGGAAAGGAAAATAAGATGATTAGTTTTTATTGCCAACAATCTTTGACATCAACTTAAAAATATGTGTGTCTTGAAGTTAACGGTGTACTATTTAACATTTATCGTAGTGATATGACTATCATTGATAGGACAAGAGTGTTTTTTCACTTAATAAAAGTTTTTTTTCCCCTCGGTTGGTAGAAGGTTGGTGGGAATGTTTGCCTTCGATAATGTTTACAACACATTAGTTAAGAAAATACTTCATTATAGTGACGGACAAGTTGTCGCTAATTTTACAACGAATGGAAACTTTTTTTGCTAAAATTATTAGTAATAAACGTTTTACATGTAGTCTAGTTTCGTTGATATTCTTTTGCTAAAAAGAAGAAAACAAGCGAATGTATTGGTTTAGCGATAGAATTTTCTATCGCTAAAAGGAGGGTTAATTTTTTGCGATGAATGACATTTTGAGATTTACCACTTTTGTTGGACATGTTAGATAACTATTTGATGAGGTCGGACTCCTCAAAATAGTATATTTGATGAAATTAGATATTTTGAAATAGTATAGTTAATGAGGTGGTTTTTTCCTTTTATGGTTAAAAGGGCAGTGATTGGCAATGATAGATGATGATGTAATAGCTTGAGGTACTTGCAAAAGAAATCTTCCTAATGAATTGGAGGACTCTTCTAATGACTAAATTAGTGTATGGAAATTAAAAAAAAAAATTGTCTAAATAGGCAATAGTCTAGTTGTGTTTATGTCAAGAGATGATGAATAATAGTTATTTAATTTTTTGAACGAGAGAGAAATAGGACAGGAATCCTCAATCTCTAGCTTAATGGACCGTTATTATGGCCAAAGTTTGGCCAAGTTGCATGGAAAGGAGAATAAGATGATTAATTTTTATTGTCAGCAATCTTTGACATCAACTTAGATTGGTGGGAATGTCTGCCTTTGGTTATCAATCGAAAAGGCTTTAAATAGTTAGTTTGACTAATACTCGAGCAGAGAAGAAGGTTCCAACCTTTAGTCTTAGGCAGTACATCATGCATATAGATTTGGTTTTTCACGTGTCATCTCTATTCGAATCACTGTTTCCCTGGATAGATTATTATTAATATTATTTGTTTCAGTCTTTGATAGGCTAGCTCTAATCAGTTCGTAGATATTTCAAATTAAATTTTCAATTTACCCAACTTCTAAGTTAAGTTGTGCCATTTCAACATAGTTCATCTCATATATGTCTAAGGAGACAAATTGTCATTGATAAGTTGAAGTAAAAATACTGTCAAGTTTTATCAATAAATAATATATATCAACCGGTATAGGTAATAATCCGTGTGGTTGAGCCAGATCTCTCGCTTAGATCCCATGGTCTTGAAAAAAAAATGGTGCATTGAACTATTAATCATTTGTCCTCACTCCTCTAGGTAGAGTGCCAAATTTAACTATTTAGTCATTAATGCTTCTCTACATTTGGAATTATTGCATTTGGGTTTCTTTTAATGGGAAATTTATGTTGGATTTGCTAATTAATTATCGACCCCTAATTACAATTAACACTACATTTATTGAATAAATTTGGCTACATTAACTGGCCAATTACAATGATGTGCTATCAATAATATGCAACAAGCATGGATTCTCATTTCTAAAGTTGAATTTCGAAAACAAAAGAAATGACAAGAGAGGAAAATTTCCAATAATATGCAACAAGCATGGATTCTCATTTCAAATGTTGAATTTCGAAAACAAAAGAAATGAAAAGAGAGGAAAATTTCCAATTCCCACATTTCTTTTTATTTCTGCCTCAAATATATGGCAGGAATTGGATTTAACTGAAAAAAAAAAGGGGGATCTTATGCTAAATATTGGTAGGAAACAAAAAAAAATCCTACCTGTATCTTGCCTGATGACGCCAGGCGAGGAAAATCCCACCTGAAGAGTGAAATCCGCACTCTCATAAACCTGACATGGGCCCACTTTCTTGCTCCTAAACCCTAGCATTCACCAACCACAATGTAGCAATTTTCCACGTCAGACTGCCACCCCGTCCCTGGCAAATGAGACAGTGAACATTTACCTGGCAGTATACTCTTTCTACGTGCCCGCAAATGCCACAGATTCTGTGTGCTAACCCTTGAAGTTCATGTTTTCTCAATCACAATTTAGCCAAACAAAACCCCATTTATACATGTATAGATTCAGAGATCTGCTCCGCTGATCTTAATCTATCATCTATTTTGTTATATATCAATATAGATTTGATATATAACATTCAATTTGGGTTCTCTTTAATTTTAAATTTTCTTGTTTGTATACATTAGAGGTACAAATTCAAGATGAATTTTTTTCTTTTTAATCTCTTTTAGCTTGAATATATTTTCATGGGTGTTTATTTTCTATATAATGTTGATCATAGTATCATTTCAAGTTCCAAGTTGTTGGTTTTCCTTTTTTTTTTATACATTTTGAGGATTATTAAAGGCAAAAAACTTGTGAAACTAGTTGATATAGGGAGATACGTTTGTCCCAAAATTTAACCTAATCAAACTAACATGAAAATGAACAATATTCCAGATGAACATGTCCGAATCAGAAGAGATCAGTCAATATCAGGAGATAAGCAGTGATGAAGAAATGATTCGTCCTGAAATCACTGATGCTAGCTCAGACAATGGTGATGGTTATACTGATAGTGATGATAGTGATAGCGATGATACTGAAACTACAGAGAAGTAAGTGGTCATTGGAGATGTTGCTACCTGCATTTTTTTTGTATCTGATCGTTTTATTTTGATGCTAAAGAAATTTTTTTTTTTTCCCTTCTTCTTTTGATCAGTTATGTTGAAGGGTTAGAGGAGATGAAGAGTGCTGAAGAGGAATTAGGGTTAGAGCATGAAATAAATCCACAGGTAACTAGTCTAGCAAGATATGTAATTAATAACATATCTGGTGAAATCCAAATGACTAATTAAGATTTGCATGACATTTCTAATGAAAAAAAAAAAAAAAAAAAGCGAGTCCATCATCTTAAGATGAAAAACATATGCATACGAAGGCATCTTGTGTTAGCAGTAATTTTTCCTGTGAGAATTAGCTTCTACTCAGGATTAATTTCTATAACATTCTATGTTAGTAAATCTTGATCTCTAGCTAATTTTGATGCTTTTTCCTTTCCTTTAAGCCCTATCTTGGGTTGGGAGGGTTCATAGCAAGAGATGTTTTTAAGAATTCTTTAGGGTGTTTATATGGTGTAAAAGCTTAATTTTGTGGTTCATTGATGATTTTTGTGGAAATTGATTTTAGCTTTGTATTACAGGATGATAATATGATCCAAAATAATGAATATGCTCCGTTCATCACAAATAATCCTCAGTCTCTTCGGCATTCTCCTCAGAGCGAGGCTGATTCAGTGTCATCATCAAGCATTCCTTTGGAAATAAATGATCGAGCTAGTGACCTTCTAATGGCAGTCTCAATTGGTGCTGATGTAAACAAGACAAAAATCATTGAGATGGCTGTTTCAGCAATGGATGAGCTAGTAAGAAAGGCCCTTGCAGGAGGACCTCTATGGCAGCACCGAAAAGATTGTGACCTTGAGATTCTAAATGAAGCCGAATATATAAGAGAATTCCGTGAATTTGATGCAAGTCTAGGAGAGCTAATGAGAATGGTTGGGATGGAAGAGCCTCAGCATTTTGCAAACTTATATCAGAACAATCGATACACCAATGGAGCACAGTGCAAACCCATGTTTCAACAAGATGCTGAAAAAGATTTCCTTCAAACCGAAGCTTCACGACATATAGGGTTTGTTCGAATGGATGCAGCCAGCATTGTTGAATGCCTCATGGATTTGGTAGGTTTTCTTTTCTCTTTCTCTTTTAAGTATTCACTATTTAAGTTTGGAACATAATGGATTATTATTTTTCTTATTTCGATAACAGAAGCAGTGGTCATCAGTTTTTTCTAATATTGTATCTAGAGCAACGATACTTGGAGTCTTATCAAGGGGAGCAGCTGGGAACTATAACGAAACGTTACAAGTGGTAATTTAGTTTACCATGCTATTTGAATATCATCTTCTTCATTTTATGAAGATTTTGGTGAAATGGATTCAAAATGCCAATAGAATCCAATACTGTTGATTTCTGTAGTTAGAATTGAGTTCATACTTGCAATGGGAGCTGCTATCTATCACATTGAAACGCAATTATTTGCAAGGAATCTTCAAGTATGTGTTGGTTTTGCCATTTTATTTGATGTCCGATGAAATTAACACTGTCTGGAAATTGTCCTGATAGATTCAACCAAAAATATTGTTACTCGTTCCCTTGAATGCTTTAATATCTTTAAGAATCTTCTCAAGTTACTCATGCATTGATTACGATTGCTACTGACGTGATCTGTTTCGTTGCATATTATGTGTTGGTGTGTGACAAAATGTAAGTTTTTCCATCTAACAAAATGTTCATATAAATAATTGATTTCATAAGGTATTCTCAATTCAATGTTTTTCAGATGAAGGCAGAATTTCATATGCCTACTCCACTTGTTTATATTCGAGAGAGTCAGTTTGCAAGGTATTGCAAGCAGTTTGGACCTGGAGCTTGGGGAGTTGTTGATGTATCGTTGGACAGTTTATTCCCTTATCCAGTTGTAAGTTTTCGGAGAAGACCATCAGGTTGTTTAATCGTAGAAATGCCGGATGGATACTCTAAGGTGATTATATGTGCTAATCGAAAAGCATGATCCCCTTCTGTAGTTTACTTGAAATGTCTCAAACTAAATTTTCCATGTTCCTGCCTTGAAACTCTGCAGGTTATTTGGGTTGAGCATGTGGAAGTGGACAATAAATCTGTCCATAGAATATTTTGGCCAATTGTTCTCCCTGGTTTTGCATTTAGCGCAATGCGTTGGGTTGCCAGCTTAGTCCGACATTGTGAACCAATTGGAAATATAAGCTCTACTGTCTTTGATAGTGGTAAAAACACTTCCTTTTGTGCTTTGCTCGAAGTTAATTATAGACAGAAAAAATGCGAGACTTTTTATCTTATGACTTTAAGCAACATATGTATCAGTTAACCTATAAAAGTTTTGGTTTGATATTGCACAGAAACAATACCCAGAAATGGGAAAACAAGTTTTTTGAGGCTGGCTGGTAGAATGATGAGAAGCTTTTATCAAGACACCAGTGCTTCTACTGACAATTTCTGGATCCGAATACCTTATGGTGGTGCTGAAGATTTTAGGTTAATGACCAAGACTATTTATGCTCTCAATGGAAGGCCTAGTACGACGTTAGTTTTCACAACATCTCTTTCGATTCCAGCTCCACCGAAGAGAGTATTCGATTTTCTTCGTAACGGTGATTCTAGAAACAAGGTATATATCCATAATGCTTAAACTTCGAGGCATTGTTTCCCTTTGATGATTGTTCAGTTCTGTTTCTTTCCTTGTAAGATAAAAGTATCCAAGTTAAAACAAGCAGAGACATCAATGAACTAATTAGATCAAGTTCGAAATGAGGATTTATTTATCAATAACCTCTTTAACGCGTAGAATCATATATAGAAAGGAAGATCAAGGAATCAGATTTAACTAATTAATTGTTAGCACTACTACTGATTCATCTTGCTATGTATTCTTGTAAATCATCTGTATCCCACATTGTCTTAGCATTATTGTTCAGATAGTTTTCAATATACTTAAAAGCTAGTCCATTTGTGGCATCCAAGACTCAGAACATACAAATATAACATTAAAACATCATTTATGAACCTTACATAAATATTATACTTCATGCTGAATGGCAGAACTAGATTTTTGACATCGAATGTCTTCAGCAATGCATTAATGCTATGGCATTAACATATTGACGAAGAAAAATAGTTTTCTCTTCGCTCGTTGAGAATCTCATTCATTGGCATCTAGATAATTCACTCGAGTATGTTAAATTTGCCAATAGAACTGTTATCTTCACTGGTTTTTGATGCAGTGGGATTTGCTTGCCCGTGGATATGCAATTCAAGAGATTATGCATATCATCAAGGGAGAAAGTCCGGAAAATCGTGTCTCGATCATGCAAGTGAATGTAAGTTGTCACTTTGTTTTTTCCTTATTCAAATATGCTTGAAACGTATCTGAAAGTTCAACTGTCTGATCCACACATTAACAAAGAAAAGATTGCTTAATTACGCAGTCTGCTCCGAACCAGATAGCAATCTTGCACTTGCAGGAAACCTACAGCCATCCAACTGGATCCTATGTTGTTTATGCTCCAATAGACCTTCGTAGCATGGGCATGGTGTTAGGTGGTGGAAATCCAGATTGTGTTAATATTTTGCCATCAGGTTTTGTGATCCATCCTGATGGGCCAGTAGGGAATGGAGAGGAAACTAGAGGAAGTCTTCTTACCCTTGCTTTTCACATTATGGATGGTTTATCCACCAAGAACTCTCTTCCTGCTAATACTGTTTATACCATTCAGAAAATCCTCACAGAAACTGCTATTCTGATCAAGGCAGCTCTATTATCTGACCATCAATAAAACAGTTCACCATCCGGTACACAAAAACTCATACTTGTAACTATTCGAACTCCTGGTAAGGCTTATTGCTGATGTTTTTTGATAATTGATCATACAAATGTTTCGTGTTTTTTAAATCCTTCTTAGGGCCTTCAATGTTATGATACTATCTATATGTATGTGTGTATGTGTCTGTGTGCGTGCATTCATGTGTGTGTATGGCTAACTAGGGTTCGTCGTAATTGCCAGTTCTAATTCCCTAGCTAAGGATTGGCACTGATGATGTTTCCATATTATTCTTGAACTGCCTAGAGAAATACATGAGGTTATAAGTGACGATTGATGGTGATATATATATATGAACTAGGGTTTACCAAAGCAACTACGATCAGTATACAGTAGGATTCAAATTCGTGAATGTTCCTCCCTTCCTATCATATGCTCTCACATTAATGTTCTCACTTGAAACTGTGATTCTCAACAAATTCCCTCTTTGTTGTGTTTCTTCAGTGCACTTAACAATTTGCAGCTAGATGTGCATACCTCATAAACATATAAGGGAGTTATAAAAATAAACGCATTTGATGGCATTTACAGAGAATCAGCGATGGTTCTTAATCTTTGGTGCCGATATTGTTGACCTTTCTTAGCAATCGCCACTGTGACTTTTGCCAACATTAAATTTTCCTGCATTTTAGTTGATGCCAAGTCTTTGGTGACGATTTATGGATGCTACTAAAACATTAAATGATGCTAAAACCATTTATGTCATGTTAGATGATGAGTGATATTTTGCTTCTGCCAGTTTTTTCCAACTTCAGACAAAAATGAACACTTTCACATTTAACTTTTACGAGTCGTACTAATTATCATGCTCTTCTTTTTGCAGGGCAAAAGAACAGGAGCAATATGTACAAGGAAAATACAAGAGACGAAATAATTTGATGCTGATCATACAAGGTAATAGGATGTAGCTTCCGGTGATTGCTGTAGATTAGCCTGTAACAGACCCTATGTAGACAGAATAAAGAGGAGGGAGTGGTGATGCTTAACACCCAACCTTCTGAAGTTTGTACCCTGTAGAACATGGTTTTGTACTGCCAATTGTAGCTCTGTTTTTAGAACTGGTCCCTGTTCACCTATTTTCACAATCTGGGATTTTTTAGGCCAAGTTTGCTTTAAACATTTCTATGAATATGGTTAAAGGTTTATAAATCTTTAGTCCTCAAAGTATAATGACAGAGAAAGAAATGTTACCCAAAACCAATAATGACTCATTAATTGCATTAAAACATGTCTAACCGATGGGAATGATGGGAAGATGCAGTTGCTTACAAGTTACAATTAGATGTACAAAAACAAAAACTACTTGATAATGTTTGATATTATGGCACAAAAAAGAATCCATGATGATATTGAAAAAAAAAAAAAAAAAAAAAAGGGAAAAAAACCGATCAGCTTCTAAACTGGACTCATATCAAATTAAAAATAAAGTTACATTCATTTTGAACCAGCAACCATCATCTTCTAGGAAGGATATCTGAAAAAGAAAAATCATGGAAAGGAGGACCTGCAACACAAAGCAAGGCATGAATTAAATTGCAGAAAAAAATAATAATAATTCATAGCTAGATCTAATCCAACCAAATTGGAATGAAACATCGATTAAATCCATCAGGGTGAATGCGATGATGTTCTACATTGCACTGTACAATCTATGGAATGTACTCAGGCTCATGGATTGGGAGAAAATTTGAGTTCATCCGTTGAGGCTATGAACAAGGCATAAAAGCTTATGCTTGAATTGACACTTCTTTTCATCTTCCTTTATTTATTATTATTATTTTTTTCCAATCCTTGACTCGTCTAAAGAAAATTTGAGAGAAGATTTCTTACCTTTTTGTTCACCAAGAATGTAAAATGGAATGTGTGCAATCATCTTTGTGCCACCTTCACTCCAGTTGACAGTGCCTGGCTTTTGCATGTTTCCTTCTGAAGGTCTTGAAGGGCCCAATACAGACAAACAAATTGCAGGCTCATTCATTAAACCCAAATAATCACGTGCACGTCTCCAAACCCTCACATCTGAGATCCGAGATCGGGCTACCTGAAAAACAATTAAGATATTCAGAGATGGAAAGTTACTAGTACATGCATATGTAGTGGAATTGCACTTCCATTCATTCTCACACATGCAATTTCAGCCAAGGATAGTAGATAATGACCAATCCAAACTTTTAAACAGACCTTGCCCAAGGATACACGTGCCCTTGGTAATAATTCCCGGTGATACGTGGCAAGCTTTGCAATGGCTGTTACAACAAAACAAAGTAGCCTTGATTGTGATGACTTTCTTGAGCTTTCACCACCAGAGCTCAAAGCAGACTCTCTTAAGCCGAGACGACTTGCCAAGTTGAAAAAAGAAATAAAATCAGTACACAAATAGCCAACATTAGAAAGAAAATATCTAGATAAGAAACAGGCGGGGTAATTAAAAATCATACCTAGAGGATAGGTTTTCATATAAAAGTAGTTCTAAACTCTCAAAAAGCTCACGAGCAGCATCTTTGTGAGATCCACCTCCCCCACCATGCTCCCCAATGGCCCAGCACAACTGTAATGCCAACTCTGTCTATAGACGAAAGCATACAATAAGCAGGAAAAAAAAAAAAAAAAAACTATCAAAATTCAAGACAGTTGTAAATTTGCAATCATCTAACCTTTGCAGGGCTGTCATATGCTTCTCCAAGCCTATCCATTATAGGTTTCTGCAACAGAGTTTAAAAGGCTGTAAGTATTCTATGAAAATTGCATACAGAACAGGTTCTCGAAACAAAATTTCCACGAAATATTCAAAAGTGTGGGAGATATCCAGTAGTTATCAACCTGCATCATAAGTCTGGCCATCAGCCAATAAAACTGTCACGTGTATAGAAACTGCATTATAACTCTGAACAAATTATTTTAGCATAAACCTATTATCAGTACCCACAACCTCATCTTCCATTGCCACTGGAGCAACAGAATCGTAATTTCAAACTTTTCATTTTAAAAACAACTTTAAGAGACCACTTTCTACATAATGGCCATTTTGACACATCTTGCAATGGCAATTTATAGCTCACCTGAACATGTATAGGAAAATTTTAGGCTCAATATAACATCATCCATGGAGCAAAACATTTCAAGGATTTACCTTCAGTAGAGCAATAAAATTTGGAGATCGCTGAAATGCAGCAAGTATGAACTCTACAAGCCTCTTACGAACCTGCATGCATAATGTTTTAATTATTCCTTTAATTTGGTCATCAATTAATATTTCATCAATCTAAAGGTCTAACTACAAATGCATTTCCAGGAACGATCTTCTTTCTATCAGGATGCTAGCACCATGTGTGTCTTATGAAAATTAACAGTTACTTTCAGGCTTAATCAAACTACATATTAGGTCCAACTGTGATTCCCTCTTTCCACAAAAAGCATCCTTTTTGTTTTGGGTTTATACCAAAGTTAATATAATAGATGAGATGGCACAACAATTAAAACCATTCTTGATATTTGTGCATAGCCATCCCCTCTTCCCAAAGAAAAAACCCACAAAATACCACGGTGGTATATCCATTATGCTTTAACCCACATAAATCCTCTTATAAGATGAACTTATTCCATCTATATATCAATATAATATTGTTCCTTGACCAATCAAAATGCAGATCATACAGAAGCATAAAATTTCAATTACTTTCAAAAATGGATGTACCTCATAAGAAAATATTTTGTCAGGAAACATTGTATCATTTCTTGACATGAGCAAGGGAATCAAAGCACAGATTAGAGCTGCAAAGCAAGGAAATAATCTTAGAGAGCACAAGCTTAGATGTAAAACTAAAACCCCCTTTCCAAATCCTGAAGCCAATCCACAGAAAGCAGAGTATTAACATACAATTATTGACATCACGCAATGATATAGCGAAATACACATCGAGAAGCCGAGGTGTCATTTTGAGTATTTGCTTTAGCCTATCAGACTGATGGGTGTTGATTGCAGCCTGTAGAGTGGCAACCATAGCAGGAGAAGTCCCATGCCGTTCCTAAAATTCAGCATTTATGCAGCAACTAATTAGAATTGCTAGAAGAAAAACAATTCTCAAGCAATGACTTTAAAGTTTCAATCATGCATCGATCAATTTAATATTTTTAATAATGCAACTGCATCTCAACTTTGACATTCAATTTGAACTTATTTACCCTCCAAGTGATACCATACAGGGACGTAAGAAACAGGAAAATACAAGGTTAAGGTTAGAAAAATCAAGCAAACATCAACGGATTTAAAAATAAATAGAACATAAAGAAACTGAAAATTAGCCAATTTTGATTAAACTAGAATAGCCAAAAACTAGAAACAGAGGGAGAAAAGGCAATACATTAACTAAAAATGTAAAAGCAACATCACTGCATGAATCATTTGAAAGAAAATGAGAATAGGGTAGAAAATCAATAGAGTGATTATTTAATAATGTGACAGAACTATGTATTCCTAAACTTTTTGTGCATTTAAACAGTTGAAATTTGGCATTAATTCACTAGAAAGAAGAAAACGAGACACAGAAGGAGCCATACTGCAAGCCCATCATTTTCATCCTTGAGAAGTTCAAGAAACAAAGTATCAGCTGCATCTATTGTGTTGCTATCCTCAGATTCAGAGTCTGCCCCACCATCTGCTATGGTTGAACCAGTATAAGCTTCATCCATGAGGGCAAGTAGCATCTGCATCCAGATAAAATGAGTACCCATGGTTGTGTCATATGCTCTTAAAAATGTAAATTACGAAGTCCCAAAAATAACCTCAGGAGCCGTACTCTTCTGGATGGAGGCTATGCTGCTTCCAATCAGGGATCCTGAACTCCGTTCTACCTTTTCTAGTGCCACTACCAAAACTAATACAGATGTAAAGAAAAATGTCACCACTTGCATAACTGGTTGAAGAAAAAATGGACTAAGTACAACATCATAACGACAGACAGTGAAACGACAGTTCATATATACATATCCAATTATTTAAAGTAAAACTATATTCCTTGAAAATGCTACACCTGAAGAAGCAAAGATTTGTGATTCCAAAATCTCATTTAACACATTGTTCTTTTCTAGAGTGAAGTTAAAAAAATAAAAAATAAAGAATTACTAAGGAAGAACATGCATCACAAGTATTTGTTACTATGCAGTATGCAAACCTACTCCTACATATACAGGCAAAGGCAAATTTCTTTGAAACAAGTCACAACAAAACTAAGCAACATAATATGCAGTAAGAAACCAAAAAATTATCAATTATAAATTTTATGCATATTCATCTAACAACAGTGACATATAGCTAAGGATATCACTTGAACAATTAGGTATAAATAAAGCTTTAGAACCTAAAATGAAGGAAAAATAAGTATTTCAAGAGAACCAAGCAGTTAAAAAAATAGCCAAACATCTACGCTTACTTGGCAAATCCACTAAAGATGGAAATAGAGGAAGGAATGAGCCAGGTGACATCAATCCTGGAAAAATCTTCATAAACGATTTTTCTACTCTGCAAGCCAAACAGATGATAGCAATTATCTAGCTTCTTTTCTTACATCCAGTTACTCATTAAAGAAAATTCCTCCCTAGTACTTCCCTTAGATGCTGATATGCAAGTACCCTAACAGCAGTAAATATCTATATAAAATAATTGCACCACAATAAAACTTGATACTTCTCCATAATTGGTAATAACAATCTCCATATTAGTAATATTTTCACTAACAATTTATAGACAGTAAAGTTGCACAAGAACAAAATACTCCTTCGAAACTACATAAGAATAAAGCTAAAGTGAACAAACTTACTTTTCTCCATTCCATGCAATCAGCTTCAGCAACAAAGGAAAGAACTGCAAACAAATTATCACTATGAGATACAGATACAGATATAAATCACGTTGCTTATCATCTCCATCTCTTTATTCAATACTGGAATTTCAATTGAATGATAAAAAGCTACTGGTTAGGCTTTCTGTTCTTAGTTCCAAGGCTCAAATATTCTAATTTTTATTTAACCATCTGCTATGATCAGTAGCTCATCTAAAGGGATTGCGACCACCATAGAGGTTAAAATTCATATGACCAATTTAGCACAAAGTCTGAGATTTAAAATTAATGGACAAACTTAGAAGAATGCAAAAAAGCTCCAGCACAAGCAAAATGAACTCCATAGTTCACAAGCTATTGCAATTTATTCTCGTGACTATAATCTAAAAATCATAGCATTGTGCAGTCTAATTGACAAAAGGTTATCTAGATCATTAGTTATACCTGAGGCAGTAGGGTAGAAAAAGAGGTTAAAATCTTTTTCTTGTTCACATTTAGAAAGTCAAGGGTTGCTTCTGCAACAACTGGATCTGCAAATTCACTGCAATCAAATTAGAATAAGATATGTTTTCGGTGAGTATCGAACCATTACTGAAATTTATTCATAGAAATAAAAAAGCATATTAAATTAAAAAGTATAAGCATGCCATTCAAAAACTTAAATAACATAGAACAATATACAGAAAAAACTAACCATCATTCAAGATGACTCAAATTGCTTTTTACATACAAATAAAAATGACAGAATTTATTGAAAAATTAGAGAGTACATCACATACTCACTTGCTTAAATACTGAAAACAAAGTCATTACCGGCTCAAACACGAACGAAAAAATGTCCGCAGGCTAGGATCCGCATCATGTAGAACCACCTCTCCAAAATCAAGGAAAAATTGAAGAATAGCCTGATTAATACACATGAAAGAATTTAAGCCATAAATTAATTCACCAACCTATCACAATACTAACCTAAACTGCAATTTCATTACTAAAATTCCACCATTCTATTATTTCGGAGTTCAATTTCTACAATTTTCCTGGATTTTCTAAACGACCAGACAAGAAACCACTGAAATAGACAAATAAAAATAAAATTTAATTGCTAACATAATATTACTAGTAAAATTAAATTTAAATACTAGAATTCTATGACTTTCAAAATTCAACTTCATCAATTTTCCTGCATTTTGTCAGCAACCAAATACAAAAACCACTGAAATTAAAATCTAACAATAAGATTAAATTATCAAACCCATTAATCACGCAGAAAAATATTACAACATTAACCAATATCAACTAAAATGCAATTTAATTAATTACTAAATTTATAACAATTTAAAATTCAACTTCCGCAATTAAACATAAATAAATTGCAATTAAAATGACAGGAAATAAAAAAGAACAGACCAGCAAGAGAAGTCCATAAGGATTTCTAGATTGAGAAAGCGAAGCGACAGAGCGCTGAAAGAGCTTATTGATATGCGGATAAACCCTAGCTATCAAATCCTCTGAATTCTCTTCTTTACACAATTCATGTAGTCTCTTCACCTATTGTCAAATCCAAAAACGACGCCGTTACATAATATAGAAACATGTAAATGTACGTATAGAGAGGTAGTGATGGCGGGAGAGAGGGAGTTACGGATTGGAGAACAGAGGGATCAGACGCGGGGTCGTTTGATAAATTGGAGTCTCTACTGCTGTTTGATAATGTACGGAGATGGAAATCCCAGTTTCCGTCTCGATCACCATCTCCCATTTTATTTTCTTTTTTAATCTGAAAAGAAGCAAATTGCTTGATGTTTTTGAAGCCGAGACCTTGCGATCCTGGGAAATGAGACCGCTGTCGTTTCACTTGACTGTGGTTTTGATGTTTTTGAAGATGAGACATTGGGTTTTTGGGGAAATGAGAACGCTGTCGTTTCACTTGGCTTAATTATCATTTTTTTTTATTTATAAATAAATAAAGTTGTTTATTTTTTGTTTGGGCGATAAATGTAGCATTGAGTTAGCTTGTTCGTCAATTAAGTTCTTTTCTCAACAATTTTGAAGACGTAACTCTATATTAATTGGATATATTCAAAAGAATTTAATAAATTTTCTTATACGTTAACTCTAAAATTTGAACAAGTTGACTTCAAAATTTAAATCGAGAAAATAAAATAAGTGAGCAAACCTTCTTAAATAAGTCAATCCTTTGAAGTTTGTTTCGTAATTAGATGAGAACGTACAAGATCTTCTTAGAGAGGTGTCACTATATCTAGTTAATTTGATTTGTAGATGAATCTAAATTTTTATTACGATATAGATATAATGAAGTACTTTCCTCAAATTTATCTGAAAAATACAATGTTTAATGTATAATAGACATATTTGTGTGCCTATTTTTTATAATAAAAAATAATAATGAGAGAAATTTTAAAGTATTCAAGGATTAACTCACAATATTTAATCAATTAATCTACTTTGAGAAGACAAATATATATACATATAAACCCATCAAAAGCCATAAGAATACTTTCATCTAATTTCAATTTTTTTTAATTCTCTCTTTTATTTTATTATTTTTTTATTTCTCTCTCCTATAGAGTAAATATTATTAGTTCCATAACATAAAATTTCTCAAACATACACAAAGAGAGAGAGAGAGAGAGAGAGAATCACATCGGTATCTATAAAAAACGATAAAAATATATTCGCATATACTCAAATTTTTTTATATTTTTTTTATTTCTCTCTTCTTTAAATTTATTTCTCTCGTATTATTAGTTATTGTTAGAGTAAAATATAATTTTTCTTTCTTGAATATTTTAAAATTTCTGGTTGTTTAAATATGTGGAAATATTTAGGACCATGATCTTTGCTAAATTTGGTAAATGGTGTTTAACCTCAACCAACCAACATCCTGGATTGCCATTTGCCAATTTGGTGAGGATTTTGTACCTTGTCTGTATAATCTCCCTCTTGATGGCTATACCATGAAATGGTATATATATAGTTACATGGAAAGTCATAGCAATTGGCAACCAGCAATAAAAAATTATTACCTTCAGAATTAATTCATTAATTAATTGCCTTTCAAATTAAAATTAACAACACACGCCAGAATATTATAGAATCATAGAATTTATTCCAGAATTTCTGAAGTAATACCAAAATGGCATAGCCTAAGTTAAAATCAGAAAAATAGAAGGATTTTATTCCACTTTACTAACTGGGAACCAATTGCTAGGAAAAGAGAAGTGGATCATGATCATGACCTTAAAGTAGCACAGTCATCAGGATAAAAATTGAGTCCACTAACTCCTCTTTTGTTGATATTATAAACCAGGCGAATATTTTGTTGATGCCATGCTCCGATTACAGTCCTCTTCCCCGGTCTTATGGCCACACAGAAGTATCCTTCTGGGAAACTGATATAATGCACAAATCTCCCCTCTACTTCATAATCAGCACCATCAAGATGGTAGATCATTCTTGCAAAATCATTAAAACCTGGAGGCATCTTGTAACAAAGTTCGAACCCATCGAATGTGTGCCTTTCCAGCTTCTTAGCATCATAATATTTCTGAAATTCTTCCATTAATATTCCATATACATTAAACCCTCGATAATCATCAAATTGAGTGAAAATAGTTCCGGAATCTATAATGCAACCACCTTCACCATATTCCCTAATTGCAAAGGTATCCGAGGGAAACTTCATTCTCTTAGGCCCTACAGTTATGTCCAATAGGTTCAGGTAATAAAAATAAGAACCTGGTGGTATTACGAATTTTGTTGAATTCCAATAAGGTGTCCCTGGTTGTGGAGGAACATCGGTGCCGAAATTGAGGTAGCTAGGATCCTTCCATGTTTGAGAAAAAGGAACCAAACAATACGAGAACAGGCCGTTAAATTCATCGTACGGTTGGTTAGCGAACGAAGCAGGAGACATGCTTAATCCAAAGATCCCAGAAATCATGTCACCTTTGGCAAATGGAATATCTATGTTTTCATTGGAGCAACCAAATATCACACCTTCAACAAATCTCTCGTCATTATCGAAGAGCTCGAATGCTTCGGTTGATGCGACACCACGCGTTATCCCTCGGCCGTCACCGTAGGTTATGTCGTACCTGCATTCACCTCCGACGCATCTGAAGAGGGCATTATCACCTGAACAAAGCTGGTGATCGCAGGGAAGCTTTCGGTAACTATTTGAAGTCTGAGAGTTGTAGATAGGAAGTGCTGTTTTGTAACAGTTTTTGCACGGAAGACACTGTGTCCAAATTAGACTACCACCAGTGTCCAAAAATAACCAGTTACGAATTCCTTCACTTCCAATTTTCATGTCTATCATATAGAATGGAGCAGGAAAACAAAACGGAAGTTTTCCGGGCCTATTTCGGTTGCATTTGGACCCGCAATTGATTTGTCCAAATGATAACTTCTAGCTTCAGAAATTCTAAGCAAACTTTGAATTCTTTCAGACTCAGTGAGCTTTCCGGGGTACAATGGAGAATCTGGAGAGTCCCTTGGTATAAGCTTTAGACTAAATCCAGTTGGCTTTGAAGTAGTGAAATGGAAGTGAGAAACCAATACAAGGCAAAGACATAGAGCAGCCTGGAAATTGTGCCCTCTGGCCATTCCTAGAGGTGAAGATATAAGAATGGAGCTTGGATGAATTCCATGAGAACCTGCTACACTTATACAGGTTTCAAGAACCAAATTTGGAAAGCCATTTTCGTATAAGGTAAGTAATTATCCTGTATTGATAGTTGGAACATAATATTGTCGCCAGGTGGACAGACGAAAGCCAACTGACACCATAAAAATCTCATCCAAGAAGATGATCAATAATCTTCCTTTTTCTCTGATATATGATAGAAGAGAAAAGGAAAAACATAAAGTAGAAAAGAAATTGTATCTCGTATATTATTTCTTATTGTGCTAGATTGATCACAGAGAGTCCATCTTAAATACAAAGGAAAAATATCTAACATTTATAATTATATCTTATATAAAATAAGGAAGTCAATCGTATCTTTCAGAAAATGGTAAAATCGTCTAATTAAGGTGCTAAGATAAGAAAATAATTAAACTAGAAAAATATCTTAACATATCAAATCATACCACTCCCCCTCAAGTTAGAAGGAGCAAAAATATTGAGCACGCCTAACTTGGAAAAACGAAGAATGAATAAATCCCGTGTCAAAGGCTTGGTGAGCATATCAGTAGGTTGGGATTGAGTAGAGATGTGGGCCAGAGAAATAAAACCTTGTTGCAATTTTTCACAGACCAAATGGCAGTCTAGTTCAATGCAAATTTTAATATTTTGTGATCCCACATGGATATTTGTTGGTCTTGTCGCATTCCAACAGAGAAGTGTCAAATTTGAAAGGAAAATGTACTGTTATAATGATAGTAATGGAGTTATCTTCATTCATTCGTGGAGAAAACACTATGAATATGGACCACGTATGATCTAGAAAGGGCAGTACTCGTGACAAGTGCGATTGCCTTATTTATTCTCCATTTAGATGATTTAAGAGTCCATCATATGGCTCCATGGGAACTGGCAAAAAGATTGAATCTTTAATGTAGTATGTAGACATTTTGTAGTGAAAGGGAGGGATAACTAGGCTGCTTTAGTTTTTCTCTTCAAATAACCTGAACCATTCTTTTGTTACCTCATATTTGTGTTCTTTGTTCAGGGAGGAATAGGTAAGGCATGGATACCACAGCTGCACTGCCTAGTTTCCAAAAACAGAAGCTTTTGACAGGACAGAGTGCAAATGATATAATCAGCTATTTGCCAGATGATGTTATTAACTATATCCTTTCGTTCCTTTCAATTAAAGATGTCATAAGAACTTCAATATCATCAAAACGATGGCTATATCAGTGGACCTCTATTTCCAACATAGATATTGATGAATCATCAGAATTCTTCAAAAGTAATCAGAATTTGGAGATGCATGATAGTTTCTTGCATTTGGTGAACAGAGCATTCATCTATCGTGGTGCTAATCATATATAGAAACTCCATTTGTCATTGGCTATGCGTGTCAGTGGATATCGTGTTTATTTTTGGATATGTGCTGCAGTAAGCCATAAGGTTCAAGAGCTTGATCTTTCTAAAATGGCAGACCCACCCATCATATTGCCTCAAAGCCTTTTTACTTCTGAATCATTGCGTACTCTGAATTTAGAAACTGGTTGTGTTTTAAAGGTTCCTCATTCCGCATGCTTTTCAAACCTCAAGAACTTGCACCTTCTGCTTTTTACATTTGAGGGTGAACAGTCCACACAACTACTTTTTGCTGGCTGCCCTGTCCTCCAAGAGTTGTATTTATACAATTGTTCCTGGGAAAATGTAAAGAGCATCACCATTTCACTTCCCAAACTCAGGAAACCGAGTCTCTATTATGACCCTTGTTTTTGGGATCAACTGCTTGATTGTGAGGTCAAGATTAATGCAGCAAACCTTTCCTCTTTTAAGTGCACGAGTTATTTGATAGTTGATCTCTCTATCTCTATGCGATCTGCGTTCTTTGGTCGATGCATATATTGAAGTTGTCAATTGGAGGACATCTATGCAAGAAAGAGCTGCTCTCCGTGCTGCAAAACTCATCAATGAAATTTGCAGTGTCAAATCTCTTAAACTATCAAATGATACACTTGAGGTACTTACGTTTCTTGGTTTTTTTCTACAGAAGTTTCTTTTATGGGCATATGCACACGCTTACTGCACAACAGACTGCACATAACCTCTCATTGTACTGATATCATATTGCAATATTTTTGTGTCAAGTGTCTTTCTCTTGCAGAAAACCTCCAAGCTCCTCTTCCAACTCTCTACCATTTGATTGATTTGGAGGTGAATTTAGGATGTTCTGATTACATTAATGAAGGTTGATGTACTTTATTCAAAAATCACCCAATCTACCATCTCTTGATATCGCGAAGGTATGTAGGCCTTGAACTGTGGACACGAATTTACTTATTTTCAGTTTCTGAAATTTTTTAGATCCTAAAACAGAAGGGGTTTTGGTTTTTGAGATTGCTCCCCTTCCTTTTTTCATTTCATTAGTTTATACTTGTCATACAGGGACTATATATATCCAGACACTTACAGTATCGTGGAAGATATGATTTTGAATGTTGTACCACATTGCTTGAAGTCTAGCCTCCAAATTTTCACAATCTCAAATTTTAAGGGGGATCCGACAGAGTTTAAGTTACTCAATTATTTGTTCCAGAATGCAGCTGTCTTGGAAATGGTAAGAGTCTTTTGTTTAGAAGATTTTTCAAATAAATTGGAGAAGCAAAAGGAGATCAGCAATCAGTTACAATTACTTCGCACAGGCTTAAAGAGCTGCACGATTGAGTTCTTGTAAATATTGGCCGTTGTCTTCGAAACGAGAGACACTGCTCTAAATTGTTTCTTGCTTTAAACTTTTAGCTTCATTCCACATATGGAGAATTCCTTTTCTTGGCTTCTAAATCTTCATTTTTTTGTACTTGTACAGGTCCGTGCTCTATTTTTTGTTGCATAGTTTGTATGTAGTGAACTGGTTGCTGGCAATATAACTGCCAGATGACCATGGAAACTCGGAAAGTTATTTCTAGAACCAAGGAGTCTGGAGAAGTTGCTGTAGGCAAATGAGGTAGTTATGTGATATCAGAAGTGGTGGTTTTAAGGCACTGCTCGAGAGTACTAGCCAGCAAGCTACAACTGGGTTCACCGTCCAAGCTTTTTCTACAACAGAAAATGGACCCTTTTTCATGTTCTGCAAGAGTTTCGGAAATGTGATGCATTGCAGAAGAAGAAAAAAAAAATCATAAATCATAGTTCTGCAGGGGTTTTTGTTAGTATACAAATCCAGCAAAATAATAAAGTAGAAAGACAAAGAATAATCAATTAACATACAAATTTTACTTAGTTCGATAATAATATCTACTTTATAGTTGCATTGGGATTTTAATTAGGTTTTGTCAATTGATGATTTTATTTATAATATAGATAATTAGAGTCATAAGAAAAAAAGTCTAACGGGCTTATATATTTAGTTTAAAATTTTGTAAATCTTTCGATGGTTTTGTTTTCGAGCCCTTGCAAAGGGCATTGCTCTCTTGATTTTCGCTCGTTAACCGATTAATGAGATCATTGTGTTGACTTGGTATAACATTTTATACCATGCAACTCTATTAATTTTCACGACTTAACGGTTCTCGAGCATATGATGTATTGAAGAAAATCCTTTTCCAAAGTTTGTTATTTTTAACCAAGTTTGCTTTTGGAAGGACGTTTTGGGGGCTTGAATTGATTCTTTCACCAGCGCTGTTTCTTCAGCCGGTTCTGACTCTTTAAATTTCAAATATTAAATAAATAGCGACCTTGCACTTGCACAAATGTTTTTTTAAGGAAATTTTAAGAAATACACTCATCAATGGGATGACAAAATTTTTTAACTAATTTACTATCCATGTCATTGCTTAATTTAATTGGTTAAAAATTTAAATATCAAATAATTATTTCAATTTAAAAATTTAAGTTAGATGAGGTTTTTGTATATGATTTAAATTATTTTTTAAAACATCATCTTAAGTAAAGTTTTGGATTAAAACTATCACCTTTTGCTGATTTATTTATTTTTAATTAGAGAATAATACATAAGGGATTGAAAGACAATATTATGTTAAAAAAACTATTTTAATTTAAAAATTTAAGTCATAAGGTAAAACGTTATAATATGATTTATATTATTTTTTATTACTATTTATAGTAAAATTTTTTAAAATTTAAGTTGTTTGGTAATTTTTAATAGACTACGAAAGATAATAATATTATACTTCATAGATTAGGCAATAATATATTTTATATTCAAAACAAAATATTGAGTATTGAATACAAAATATATTATGTGCCATTTATGGAATACATAGTATATTATATCTCATATTTAATGAAATAATATATTTTATATTTAAAATATAATATTGAGTATTAAATATAAAATATGTTATTCTATGCTCAATATTCAGTTTTCACTACAAAATATATTATATAGCACATATTACATTCAATATATGGCATATAATATATTTTCTATTGATCAATAATTAGTATTGTGATTTGAATACAAAATATATTATGTAAGTAGTTGCAAATGCTTCCTACAAGCTCAGCAAGTTGTGCAATCCTTGTGAAGTCTGTAAGAGAATATCTTTAAGAGAATTTCCTTCCTCAGTGCTTGAACTTTCCGAAGATCTTTATCTCTTGGATGCGTTAAACGTCTGAGGTACTTCCACTAATTTTATATTTCAATTTCTTCGATTTGAAAGCAAACTTGGCTATAGAAATGCTATTTGTAAGAGAATCCAGGCATTGATTGCTGGAGCATATCAAAAGGGTTCATGAAGTGGGATTCATACCCGAGGGAATTGCATTTTGTGCCTATTCTTGAAAGGCCTCGGAATAATATAATCTTTTGTTCCTATGAAACTGCAATGAGCAGCTGCCATTTATTTATTCTTCTTTCATATTCAACAGTTTTATTGAAGATTTGAATTTGCGAATTGAGATCGTAAAAGGAGTGCTGTTTCCAAGCTATGCATTGACATTTTCTAAAACTCCTTTGGTTAAAACCCAAAGGCATTGACTTTCTTTTCCGAAGTGATGTTAACAAGTTCTGGAACAATGTTGACATAACCCTGAATGATGTATATTTATATCTGAAACATTGCAATCGGCATTTAACCTGATGTTTCGACATCCGGTCAACCAATTTCCTGTCTCGAATGGATTTGAACATCTGGTTCTAGCAAAGAAGGCATTGCCTTTGGTTGTTCTCCAAGCATTGTAGGACTCCCCAGGTAATATCGCCATCATCTTAGTTTGGTATTGCAGCTTTTGATTGACTGCTGGAATCATCAGATGGCATTAACATGCCATGCTTTTCTCAATCTTGCCATACAAAAACCAACAATTTCTCAATAATCTACTATAAGCAGAGATGTTAACACAAAACGATCTATCAAAAGCGCAGCATTCAATCTATTTTGAGTCCTACATAGCGATTAGTCTAACTAAACACCACGAAAAAGCAAGTCCTTGAACTAAAACCCCACAATAGCATGTATTTCATGACTGCACCACAAAGTAGAAGTATTGAGGATTTGTTAAACAGTTCAATAGCTCCAATCAGTACATGGAAGAGCTAACTATCAATTTGCTGCTGCAAAAAGATAGAAGATTTCAACATCTCTCTTAATTCAAACCATAACTTAAAAGATCTGGAAACTGCAAGATTCTCTGTACTAATAATCAAATGATCAACTAGAAACTAAACCAACATAGGTACTGAATGTTGTTAAAAATGCAGAATTAAGATCACCAATGTGTTGTAAGAAAAAGAGGTTCTTCGTGAATCACTAAGTTAAATTAGCTATGGCGATCAAGTTCTTCGACATTAGGCTTAATAGAATTTCAGATCTATCAAAAATACATCCCTACAGAACAACCCAATATCCAAAATGGTTTGAGCTTTCTTTCAGTTGGCATCTCAGGTTAGCTGCATGCATCTAAATTTTGTGGTGCTTCAGTTGGTTCTAATCTGTTCTTGTACTTATTTCTTAGTTCTTCCATTTCGAAAAGAAACCCAACACTTGAACAAAACAAATAAATACTGGACAAATAAACAAACTCAACTCCTTCAATCAATCTAAAAGTCAAACATTAGAATATTTCTGCACAAAAGTCTGGTGCTTTAAGGAGACAAGTTGACACTAGCCGAGTAAATATCATCATGATCATCAGGGATGCCCCAGCCTCCATGAGTCCATGACACTAATGAAGCAGCTATTCTATAAAGAAAATAGCCGTAAAAAGGTTAGCTTTTGTCTTTCCAAATCTAATAAGCTCAATGAATTAGAAAAGGTGGTCTTTTACCTAATGAAGTCGATTTTCGTTCATTCGTTGGGAAAACAGCACCATCTGACCCCCTCAAAGAATAACATTAACCTTGCAAGTAGGAGAACCTTGTTTCACCTTTTTTAACTTCTTGCAAATTTTGGCTTTATGCTTAAAACTTCCACCACAGTTAATTGTCATCTCAGACAAAACTCTTGCTTCCTCCAGAAAATACTTCACCATGATCAATTCCTCTTTTGTCCCTCCAAATTTCCTGACTTTGATTTCTTTGAGGTGAAACATTAGGCAATGTGGAACATAATAATCTGGACTCCACAAAAATGGTTCTTCGTGGTTTTCAAGGTCTACAAATCCCTATCAATGGAAAACCAAGTAAGAGGCTATCGCAATAAAAGTCAAAGGGCTTTCCTTACAATTCATAACATCCTAACTTACCTTGTTAAAGACGAGCACTTGTAAGTTAGGCACACGTAAAAGTAAGGCTAGCAACAAATTCCAATTAATCGCATCAGCAGAAAGCTCCATTTGGTTCAAATTATAGAACGTAGGTAGTGAGGTATAAGCCCCGGAGTTGAGCAACTGACACACAGCAATAACATGAAAAATTTAGTTGCTCTAAGAGATCGAAGCAGAAAACATATATGGATAAATTTAAAGTTGTAAGGCAAAATGCCAATGAGCTATAGCTCAACTAGCATCAGTATCCTTCCTTCCTTCAAGAAGTTCGAGTTCGAAGCTGTCCTAAATTTGTAACCAAAAAAGCTGCAACCAAAATCGGTTATGAATACAAGTTGACGTGCATTTAAAAGCATTCTTACCTTCATAAGATTAGAAGATAATGACAGAAACTTGATGTAAGAAGTAGATTGAAGAAGCCTGGAAATCCCATGAACAAAACCAGGTCCAACTTCCAGAGATGTAGGAAAGATTTCTCGCAATGGAATACTTCCCCTGATTAAGGAGTATAGATTCGTTGACAAATAGTCTGATGTAAAGTTGTTGATAGTGAGGCAATCAAGAACTGGAGCATTGACCACGATATGTTTCTTAGAATCTTCAGTTCCAAAGAGAGAAAGATCCACAGTTAGCCTCTTCAAAGTTGGAGAGCATATATAGAAGAAAGCTACTTTTTCTCTTCTGCAATTCTGTAAAACCAGTTCTTCAAGTACAGGGCAGCCATCAAACAGCCTTTTTGTCGAGTCCATATCAACAAACTCAACCAGATGGAGATAAAGAATCTTGAGACTCGAAAAACAAACAGTTTGAGGAACATCAAGAACAGTAAAACACCTCAAATTGAATTTCACCAATGTCTTGCAAGTAAAAAGACTCATCGGAAACACAATAGGACGCGGCAAGTATAATCCAAGATCAAGTTCTTCGACACCACGCCTAATGGCAACCCTAATCCATGAATTAATACGATAAGTATCGTATGCCCCACGACAAATTAAACCAAGTTTTTCTAGGCATAAAACATCGCGGAAAATCAATACCCTGTCAACGAAATTCATGAAGCTAATTTCTCCGAAAGGTTCTTTTTTGCCACGGTCAGTTTGAGGGTTGAAAAGCAACCAGTCATCTAAGTCAAGAGTTGGGACTGAAGCCCACAGATACTTCCATCTTTTGGACAAAACACCAGTCCCGACAGCATGTTTCGTTGGGAGAAACGATAGAATGTGGCAGATGATTGGGTCTGGTAAATCGCTAATCCTGTCAATACCAAGTTGGTTGGACATATCTTGCTGTTTTGAGAGCTAACGAAATAAGAGAGCTGAAGCAAAAAAAAAACGGCGTACCTTAAGAACCCACCTAGCTAGCTAGCCATAAGAACGTCAGATCAATTATATATACCTCCTAATCAAATCAATGGATACACGTTGAGAATGGTAAGGGCTCTCATAAAACCTAATTCAACTAAAAGATTTAAATGAACTAAGGTTTATATATATATATATATATATATATATATATATCTTAAATAAATAATAAAATAAAAACTAGGGTTTTTGATGAAGAAATCTAAGGGAAAACTAATAACTACAAGCAAAGTTTTATTAGTTTTCCCTTAGATTTCTTCATCAAAAACCCTAGTTTTTATTTTATTATTTATTTAAGATATATATATATATATATATATATATATATATATATATATATATTTTGAGATTGGACGAAAAAAAAAACAAAATACTATGAGAATATTAAATTAATGAACAAGCAATTTAATGAACAAGTTAAATTTTCCGAAATAAAAAATTACAATAAAGAAATTAAACTAAACAACAGGGCCGCATTAAATTTCGAAACTAACACTGTTGCATTCAACAATGGAATTGCAACTTGTCTCATCTTTATCCCCACTTGGTCCTTTGTATTGATTGAAATATCAAATTTAGTTCTCAATCTACAAAACTTTATCAATTTGGACCAATTACTCATTGATCAATTAAAAATATTTATTTCGGATGTAAACTTATCAATTTCCAATATATATATATATATATATATATATATATATATATATATAAAAAAATATTTGGTAAGAATTTAAAAAAAAATCAATTACTATTAATCAAATGAACATGAAATGCTTGTTGATTCAAAGTTAAAACTCTCTCTCTCTCTATATATATATATATATATTATTAAAAAAATAATTGGTAAGAATTAAAAAAAAAAGCAATTACTAGTAATCAAATAAACTTGAAATGTTTAGCTGATTCAAAGTTAAAGCTCTTAGATTAGAAAAAAAAAAATTAGATAATGAAATCTTGAAAAATATTTTAAAAACTGATCAATAAATTTGTAGAATTCATTCGACTAATAGTAATTAAATTTGACTCTTTTTTTTTAAATTCCATTAAGCTATTTTCTTTTATAAAATTTTTATAATATTTTATTTTTTCTCAATAAATCTAAGTAGGACTTACATTTTTTCATGTGTCTATGAATCCTAGTCAAGCTAGTATTTTTTAGGCTCATGTGATCAAAATAAGTCAAATAGAACAAAAATAAATAAATGTTGGGCATTAAAAAAAATTATCAAAAGATACACATTTAAATTGTGAGTTTCTCTAGAAAGTTTTTGATTTTTTTAATAATCCAAATCAGATCTATTTTTTATTATATGATATTTATTTCCAACATATTAGTATTTTTCAGTTTTAAGTGATTGAAATTCTGAGATAGCTTAAAAAAAAATTGAAAACATTTAAATAGATAGAATTAAAGATTAGATACTCAAATAAAATAAAAACAAATAAAAAAAATTAAACACCCAAATTGCTGTTTTCAGGTTACAGTGAAATAAATAGTAATTTACTTTGGTCTCATATTGTTTCTAAAATCATTTTCCTAAAGAAAAATTGGTTTGTGGTCCAAGAACACAGTAATGATTTATTTATTTATTGCAGCCCAGCCCAAAGAGAAGGGAGTAGAAATGGATTAAACTTTAACCATCGGATAATAGACGGACGAAAACTCCTCTCCTCTGGGAACTGCACTGAAAGAAAACAAGAAAGAGGAGGGTTTGGTAACTTCCATTCTGATCCAAATTTCAATTTCTGAAGAGCGAGAAGTTCAAATTTTGAAGCACTACACCGTTTCCAATGCTTTATGTTCTTTGAAACCATAAATTATACTACAAAAGATTTAGTTTTTTTTTTTTTTCTGTTTGATCTCGGAATTAGACAATGCCAATTACCAAACCCTAACCCTAACACTAAACCAAACCCAACTCATTCCATTTATTGATCAGGTTCTTATCGTTACCCTATCTTTTATTCTAGAAAATATTTAAGTGTGTGTAGTTTTTTTTTTTTTTTTGGGTGCAATGGTCTGAACTTTTGACCTTGATCCTACCCTCAAGGATTTAAACCTTTGATCTTGATGTTGACCCTTAATTAGGGAAAGAGAGAAGATTTGTGTGAAGTCACAAAATTGTAGAATAGTATTGGGGAAATTTTGTAATAACTTACAGAAGCTTGTGTGAAAGGCATTGTAATGTCTTTTGAGGTAATTTAGTGTGTTTTCGACATTTTTTTTTTTTTTTTTTTGCTGAGTTTGACAAAACCACCAAACTGAATTTTGGAGATTGGTAATTCCATTACTGATTAAAACCCATGAGACAAAATTACAAATTTTTGTAACTTAGTCACAAATGCCTTGCACTTTTAGGGGAAAATAGTATAGAATCCACCTAGAAAGCACTACAGGTGCTGAATTCATTGCCGGTGTCCCATTAAGAGACATAAGCAAAGTTTAAGTTGTAGTGTTCTTTTAGGTACTAGGTTCTTTGTGTTTTTTTTTTTTTTTAATTGATGATTCATTCTGGATTTTGACATAGTATGTGTTTCCTAATCTGGAATGTCTATTAAACTGCCAAAAGTTTCTTCTTTCGATGGCATTTGAAGTGTCTGTTTAGCTTCTTTTTCTTCACCTTAAAAATATAATGTCTATTAAACTGCCAAAAGTTTCTTCTTTCGATGGCATTTGAAGTGTCTGTTTAGTTTCTTTTCTTCACCTTAAAAGATTTAGTATTTTTTTTCTTTTTTCTTTTTTTTGTCTGTTTTTTTATCACAGAATACATGGACACAGGCCGGCCATTCCCTAAGAAATCTGCCAACATTGGTGACAATGTGGATAGGATCAGCAAGTTGCCTGATGAAGCTCTTTGTCACATTCTCTCTTTTCTTACTACAAAACAGGCAGTTTCGACTAGCATTTTGTCAAAAAGATGGGAGCATGTTTGGACATTGACCCCAAATCTTGATTTTTCTGATCAGTTTTCTTACAAGTTTGCAGAAGATTACAGTAATTGCACAACTGTTTTCAGTTCCTTAAAGGATTATGTGGACCGGGTACTCTTTTATCATGGTGGATCTATTGTGCGGAAATTCCACCTCCAATGCATTACTAAAGATGCTTCCCCTAATATTTATGCATGGGTCTGTGCTGTGTTAGCTTGTAATGTCCAAGAACTAATAGTTGAAACTAGTTTCTGCAACAGTCAGCCACTGCCTTGGAGAGTTTTTACTTGCAAAACTTTGGTGGTTTTGAGAATTAATGGGATGTTTGTCCTAGACTTGCCTACTAATATATGTTTTCCATGCCTTAAGATCCTCAGTCTTGCTCATGTTGTGTATGTGGATGATGTCTCAATGCATAAGCTCTTTTCTAGTTGCCCTATCCTTGAAGATTTAGCTATAGTGAGACAAGGATGGGATGGTGTGCAAATCATGAATATTTCTGTTCCATCATTGAAAAGATTGTCTATATCTTCGCACTACTTTGCAGGTTGTAAGTACAAGACAGAGATTAAAACCCCATTCCTTGAGTATATTGAATTCAAAGATAGTTCACTGACTAATTCTTCCATGAGTGTTTCATCCTCTCTAGTTGAAGCACGTATTGATGGTAGATGCTCATCTGAGTTTCTCAATGGAATCTCCCAAGTTAAGGTCCTAGTGCTGTCTGGCGATGCTATGTCGGTATGCTTGGTTCATATTCTGGATAACTATTTTTCTTGACATATTGAATTTAATTAATTTCTTTTTGTACCTACAATGCCGTCATGGGTTCTATCCCATCAATGCATTTCTTTTTGTAGTCTCTCAATTATGTCCGTGATTCCACAATGCCCACATTCCAGAATCTTACCAAACTGATGCTATATGTTAGTGAGTTCATTAACTGGGAACCGCTGCCAGACTTTCTTAACAGCTCTCCTAAGCTTGAAGTTCTTGTTTTTCCAGAGGCAAGTTTGATGCAATTTCCTTTTCGGTCTAAAATATGAAGGGTAGATATATGAATTTTTGGGATTTTTTCCTGCTCAAGGACTAGTTGTTCCTAAAGAGAATGGCAGGGGTTTCCGTGGCTTCTATTGGCATTCGCCAGAGATGGAACCTGAGTGTTTGCTCTCGAGTCTGAAGACGATTGAAATTAACAATTTTGTGGGAATGCCTGGTGAGATATATCTTGCAGAATATTTGCTGCAGTATGCAGAAGTTTTGGAAATGATGACAATCCGAGGTTACAATTTTTCGGGAAGGCCGAGAATGCAGAAGAAGCTAGAGGCTCTTAGGAATGAGATAATAGACTTCGCAAGAGATTCTAGTGACTGAACTTGTTTTCACAATGTGAAGAAGTAATTTTGGTGTTACATCTTCTGAAAGGATATCGAACTAACTAGTTTAAGGTCTCACTGTCCGTGTACGTATGTTTTTGGTCCTTCATATCCTCGACTAGGCTTGAAGGTTACTATGCTATTTTCATATCATAATTTATATGGAATATTTGGCTTCTGTCTTTGCTGTTTTTATGCCATTTGAAATTTCTGTAGTTACATCGGTAGTATTCACTCGTAGAAAATTAAGGTTGCAGCAGTGACAGAGAAGTGGTTAATTTTTGGAGTAAAATTCAAGCTTCTTAGAAGCTCAGCAAGTTGTGCAATTCTTGTGAAATTTTTGTTTGAAAAATTTCAGTGCTAGAAATTTATGAAGGTCTTGAGCTTAAAAGTATTATGTTTTTGGAGTCATAAAAGAAGATAGAGAGATTGCAGGGGCTTAGGGAAGTTTTGCTACAGATAAAGAATAAATGGTCACGAATTCTTTACGAAAGGATGCAGTGGCACTGACGGTATTGTTGTTGAATGTTTTGGTCATTTATTCATGAGTCTGTTCGCTATTTTTTTTCGTCAAATATAATTCGTGTCATTGAGATTTATCCGAGTTGGGGACTAACATTTATTTGGTGCCTACAGCAGGTTTGGGAAATAGGCTGTTCTTAGAGTTGGATGGCTGTCACAGTGGGTGACACCAGATCCTCTTCTCTTACCCCAAATACAGTTTCTGTTGCTTCTTCCATTCTTTGGTTTTGATTTAGGTTTTACTAGATTTTTGACCCGCTTTACACTACGAATTGAATAAAATATATAAAATCATTTAAAAAAATTATTTGAATTTAATAATCTGTTATATAGTTAAAAATAATTATAATTTTTTAATCAAAAATTTTATACGAAAATTTAAAAAAAAAATTCAAAGTTTAGAGGAAAAAAAAGGACACGCCTTTTACTTGTTTATGTGAACAATAAATGGATAGAAATTTAAAAAAAAAATTAGTGTTTAGAAAAACAAAAGGGGGTGGGGTGGGAAAGAAGGCCAAAGGGTGTTGGCCAAAAAAATAAAATAAATGAAAATTTAAAAAAAAAAAAAAAACCAAAGCACCGTAGTAATGAACGGTGATTAACATTGTTCATTATTACGGTGAAAAACCGTTTTCTTTTAGTTTATAGTGTAATTTACTCTAAATGCTAAGAAATGTTATTTTTTTCTCTCTATATTGATGATTATTCTTTCAAATAATTACGTGATAATTTTTTTTTCATCATTTTCAAGTTTCAAATTAATTTTGTGAAAATTCATATAAACGTATGAAAAATAAATAAATTAATGAGTTGTTAGTATTATATTTGTATTCCTAATTTATAAAATTTTGATTCAATCTAAATTTAAGTTTGTTTCAAGCTTGTTATTTGTAAATACTAGGATTTTCTTTCATACCGGTTAAGTTGTACCAACAAAGGGCATTTTTTTTAATCAATTTTCTTTAACTCTATTGTACATTTTGCTTAATTTAAGTTAAATTTGACCTTTAATATAATTTTTTATTGCAATTATTTGACTTTATTCTTTTTAATGGTGAGACATTTAGATTTTTTATTTTTAAATTGACATAGTAAATATTAATTAAATTTTATTTTACATTAAAGCATGATTTTGAATATAGTTAACATTTTTTCTTTGAAAAAAAATTAATTGATAAATCCGATAATATCCGAATTTGATCCATATCTAATTCAATCTATTTATTGAATAAATCAAATTTAAATTTATTATGTTTTGATTCAAATCATATAGGTTGACGATCGGATGTAATTTTTTAGCCTAACCTAATAAAAAAAGGGAACCTTGACATCTATTAGACTATCGGTTAAAGCTCCGTTGGTCAATGCACGGACCAAAAGTTCTCTATGCAACCTAAGTCCTTAGTCTTAGCACAAGAAGAGGGAAACTTTCTTCTTAAACACTCTCGATCTCTTATAGGGAGTCCAAAATTTCAAAAGGGTAACTTCCCGAGGGTGGGTGGGTAGGATCTTTAGTATAAATTCTACAAAAACACATCCACCATGACTCACCCCGAAAAGTCACTTACAAAGTGATATTGGAATTAGACCATTTCAGTCATTAACCCTTACCCAAACACTAATCCAAACCATTACAAACCAACCTCATTCCAATTTTGATCGAGTTTTTCTCATACACATAAATCATGTGAATGCTTAATTTTGTTTGAACAATCATACAATGTTAGTTGTTAGTGTTAGAATGCCTAGGTTCTCGCAATGCATTCTCAAAAAGAGAAAAAAGAAATGCAATGGTTTGAGTCTTTTTACTTACATCCTAAAATCAATAATTGATGATGTTGTTCTTATTACCAATTAGGCTTTAAACACTAATTGACAATGTTATGTATGAATTTGTCACGACCTTGCCCTTTTTCACGAGCTATGTTGTCGACGAAAATTAACAAATGAAGGAAGGTGTTGTTTGGTAATCGAAATAGAGTGGTGGGAATAGGAATGAAACTTTTATTTCCACATTGTAGCTGTTTGGTTAAAAGGCATAAAGTGGGAATGGGAATGAAGAGTAGGAATGGGAATGAAAATTTACACAAAACTTCATTCTCACATAAGATGTGGAAATAAAAAACAAGGAATGAGAATGAATTTTTTTTTCATATATATATATATATATATATATATATATATTATCTATTAACTACTTTTACCACCATCACTATCACCACAACTACCACCACCACTACCATTACAACAACCACGATTGTCGCCACCACCATCTTCATTATCATCATCACAACCACCGCTATCGCTCGCTATTACCACCACCATCACCGTAACTACCGCAACCATCACAACCACCGCTACTACTATCATTATCACAACCACCACCACTACCACCACCACCATCATTATCACAATCATAACCACCATTACTCCGACAATCATTACCACTACCACCGTAACCACCACTATCATAACCACAATCATTTTTATTATTTTTACAACCATATAGTTTAATAAATTTATTTTTTTAATTATTATCTTTATTTATATAAAAAATCAGATATTAAAAAATTTAAATTGCATTCTGATTCCTTATTAGTATTCTAAACACGGTATTGGAATACGGATACCATTCGATTCTTTAATTTTCATTTCGATTCCCGTATTTTCATTTCCATCACTCTATTCCCGATTACCAAATAATACCTAACTATAATTATAAACAATGTACCAATAGGTACTAGGTTTTGAGAATTTTTTTTGATATCTTTATTATTCATGACCTATAGAATTTATAGGCTTACAAACTTAAGAATGACTTAGATTAGATAACCTCTAAAGCTAGAAAATAGCCACTAAAATGCTAAAGAGTGGATATCTAAATAATAGCTCCAAACTAGCTAAACTATATACCACTACTACCACTACTTATTGACTAACTCAACTTTAAGGAAATTAAACATTGGATCGACTCTTCGACTTTACTATAAACAAGATGAATAATTGAAAATAATGAACTACATGCAATCACATGACATTCCTTCCTCGTTGAAAGAGTCCTTATCCTCGAGGACTAAGAAAATACAAAAAATTTACTTTAAAAAAGCATTCTTCTTCCCATGTAGCTTTTGTAGTTAGAAGACCTCACCAATGGATCAATAATTTATGTTTGTACCTTTTTTGTGATCGTTCAAAATTGCTAAAGGTCGAGATTACAATAATCTTGAGTCATCGGACATAATTGACAAGCTTGAGTCGGTCTTATTCCGAGTACTCAATTGTTTCTAGAGAAAGGAGACATGAAACATCGAATGAATTTTAGTCCTTGATAGAAGGTCTAGATAACAAGCCACCATTCTAACTCTCTCCAAAACTCGATAAGGCCCATAAAAATATGGGGAAAGTTTTTGTGACGTTCACATTGCCAAGGAAGTTTAGCGATCGATAGCAACATTATATCATATCTTTAGTCTTTTTATATTTAGTTTATTTTTTATGTATTATTATAATAATCTATGCTTATATTCATGTTCAAGACATAAACTAGGAATTTAGAGTAATTGTGCTTAAAAATTAGAGAATTCTAGCATAATTAACTTAGACCTTCTAAGCTTTTTGTAGGTTTTTCGAAGCCTTAGAGTTGAATTTGAAAGAGGTGATCTTCATAACCTTTGTAGAGGACATCTCAATATTTTCAAAATAATATAGTGGGTTAAAATTGAAATTTGTTTGGGCCTCCAAATGATATTTTATATTTTGATCTAGAAAGCCGATCCAAATCCTATTCGGAGTCTAGATCAATTACGACATTTAATTCATATCCGGACATTTAAAACTCTAATTGATTCAAGGCCAAACCCATGGGATACTTAAAAGGTATACCTACTATTCTTATGAAGGGCCCGAGTCCAAACTAGGTCGGTTATTCTTCTTCTCTCTTCAATGAAATTGATAATGTTATTCAAATTTATGTGATTTATGATTTTTATTTGATTGATTTGTTTTGGCCAACTTGATTGATTTTAATATATTTCTATAACTAGATATAGAAATTTTGATATTTGTAATTATCCTTTTTCTAATCATCTAGCAACAAATAGTAATAGATGATCATGGATAAGTTTTTGTCTTCGCCATTATAAATAACATAACCTAGGTTAAATAATCCAAGCTTATGAGATTATTTGTAACTCCCATGAACTTGCTTAACGTAGCTATACGTACGAAAATAATTTTATCTACATCTACTAAGTTACAATTATGATTTTTGTGTTATGTTTGTGTTTGGTGAGTTTAAGATGCTTGGGTAAAAAAAAATTCAGCATACAAAAATTTAATTCCCAAGCCCAAATATCTCTTGAAATATCCATGACTATGTGAGCATAAATTGTGTGTCATTTCTTTTATATTTGTGGTGTGAAAAATATTTAAAGTTTATGGAATTGTTCATAGGAATACTTTTCTTTGAAAATTAAT